GTCCTTGTCGCATCACTCAAGTTCTTACTCCCTCTTCTTTTATTATTCAGCGTCTCTCTGACGGAGTAAATTTAGGAGTCATCAACATTGATCGACTTAAACCATTTTATGAACCGAATGATATTCGTGTCAACAATACACGAAATACACCAGATCAAACTTTAAATACACACCCCCAACCATTGATGAGTATCGATACAAGCAATGCTACAAATATGATTCCTTCTCGCCCGTCAAACAATGATGACCTCTCTCCGTCCACTATTATATCAACGTCCGATTCGAATACATAGACGACCTAACCGATTGAATCTATAGCACCATCTATATCATAACAATGACCTCCCGTTCATGCAATGTTCATTAAATAACCTTTTCCTTTCCTATATATCCGGTCATACTGAGAAAGAATGACCTTCGCTTCGATCCATTGCAAATCTATCACATTAGACACTGTGTATATTTCAACTGTCAAACATGTTTCTAATCCTGCAGATATTCCCATCAATCTGCAATATGTCTGTTAAGCAGTTGTCTGTCAAGAGTTCAATGATCAATCGTACATTTATTGTTGACCCCATCCTTCACTCTCTTTCACCAATCCTATCCATCATTAGATATAACTTATCAGTCGGATAAGCACTGCATTCAAAAAACAAAAAAAGAGAAATTAAATCTCTCCCTCTCTCTAACTTATCCATAGCGGGTCATTCATCCACTTTTTCATCTTCCTTACACTATCACACATTGTTTTTGTTTCTTCACTGATATTACGGTTATAATAAAAAGCCGAAATAATCAAAAAAAGGATATAAGTCTAAATCGAACAAGCAAAAATAAAAGAAAAACAACACGTTGTAAGTACTACGTTTCATAACTCCAGAATGACTCTTTTCTTTTTACTGATATTCTTGCTCACTGTATTTCATACGTTTTCTGAAAATATATTCTCCAAAAACACTACAATCGCTCATCCTGAATCTGGTCTGTTCCTAAATTATATCGATCCCTATACTCCATCTGAAATGATTATTCACAATTCAGCTATTTTCCCTATGACTAATAGCATGTGTCACTTCCTTCCACTTTCAGCTGCCGAAAAAATTCCTACTTGTCATATAACCGTTCAACGAACGAAACGTCTCATACCTGTTATTATCGGTTTAGGCTTAGGAGCAATTACTTTCGGAATGTCTGCTTCGAGCGCCATACAAGTCTCAGATCTACAGAAAGAAGTTGCACTTGTGGGGAAATCACTCGCTGAGCTATCCGATACCACAAAGATTCATGGAGCTCAACTAGTGACAATTCAGTCAGATCAGATTCAATTAACAGAACAATTACAAATGACTCAAAGACTCCTTGACTCTATTATTCCCATAGTAGACAATCATTCAGATACTATTAATGCCTTACAAAATCACCTCTCATTCCTACAAATACAATTTCAACATTCATTTCTGTACCAAGCACTCAGACAAATTCTCCGAAATGAGCTCACTCTTGCGTTTCTAGCTCCATCCGATCTTCACACAGTCGTATATAGTATTATTCGTCAAGATAATTTAACTTTTAATCCATCTCTTGGATCTTTACCACTAGCACATATCATTACCCGCCTGCTTATTCTTCAACAAATCAACTTCATTCCTACTACACTTTACTCCACCCCTAATCTCTCTGAAATTGGACGATTAGTAATTACTAGCTTCTTCGCAGTTCCTCGATCTGATGCACCTCTCTTTCTCCTTTATAAATTAATCACCATTCCATTCTTTCACGAGAATGAAACTCTCCAGTTAACCAAACTCCAGAGATACTTCGCCATCAATCCGTCGAATAATATCACTATCGAATGGTAAGATCACGACGATCTTGGATGTGATTTCAGATTAATGACAACTTGTAGAAACACTCCACCATTTCGTTTTATGTCAAATACTTCTTGTTTAGGACAAATTCTCAACGGATTACCCTTATCAAGATGTCACATGGAACCAGTTCCTTCTTCTCCTTTCTTTCTTCGTCAACTCCACGACAACCTTTGGATCACTTCTTCCCTCCAATCATTTCATTGTGTAACAGTTAGAAAGTCCGATCTTCAACCACTCTCTCACCAAGTGTCAAGTCTCAATGAGCAGCTTATTCTTCCACCAGTCGCTCTCATCAACGTAACACCTGGTCACACCATCGTTTGTCCTGGATCCTCACTAACAGATAGTGCTACTAACCAACATGCTCCCTCTGTAATCATTTTATATAACAACACCTCATTTCTTAATAATGTTTCCGTTCTTAATGTGCATCGCCATATTATGAGTAATAATAGCTGGTCTACAACTAAACTTCTAGAGCAGGAAGTAAAACAAATGATGCAATTTGTTGAGAAAAGATCCTCTAAACCAACGTTCTCTCTTCCTCATCCAATGTACCTATCCGTAATTAGCGTACTCCTATTAGGATGCATTTTAATATGTGCTGCCATTACGACTATATGTTATATTCGTCGCTGCTATTCAACACGCTTGTTACAAGACTTACGTGTAGCCTTACCCCCTCTATCAATAACACGAAACATCATCTAAATAACACCTAATAATAATCCTTCAATAAATAAATAAACATAAACAAAAAAAAAAATATTATATATAATCATAAAATATTACCTTTCCTCGCAGAAAATGGCACATACGTATTTTTATCAACAACATGACTCCATACTCGCATCAATTTGGAACATTCTTAAAAACTTTCATGTAGCAAATTTCTCTTCTCTCCCTTCTATTGACACCACTCTTAATTTAGTCCGTGAATGGCTCCAAGATCATTTCTCTTTTCATCCGCAGCTTCAGACCGCCTTGTCTACTGTCACTCTCCTTGATTCTGCTTCATCCTCGGCTTTTCTCAGACGCAATAATATTGATCCCGATGATGTCATACGTCTTACATGGTCTCTTATCTGTCTCCGACCGTCAGCTTATGAATTATTTTTTGAAACTCTTAGAAATAAATGAATCCACCTCCTCCCAACTCCACACTACTAGACTCATTCAGCTAGCGTGGACACTTTCTCCAATCTTAAATGCCACCACAGTCAATCGTTTCTCATTCTTACCATCTTCCAATGAAACTAATCCCTCTACCATCTCATCAACAATATCCTCATCGAAAGAAAATTCTACTCCTGATACTTTGGCATCACATGTCTCACATATAACTGCACCAGCACAATCAAATAAAACATTAAAACGGCAATTATCTCATGAAACAATAATTCCACAACCACTTATGTCATTACAACTTGACGTTAATGAACCACCACTTCACAATGCTCCTGCTAATCCAATTCCTCTTATGTCATTCTATGCTCCTCCATGCTCAACTAAATCCCATCATCAATCACACCATCGACCACCTCTTCAACGTAAACCACGTTTATACAGCACAGTCTGTAGTCAAGCACCACAAGCAAACACTAATACAAGTCAACACGTCACCAATCATCGCTCTGATACATCGTCAACAACCTTCAACACCATCAACTCATCAACACAACAACAGGAACACGCAACAGTCTTCTCCCCAAACCACGATCAACCATCTCCTGGATTATCAAGTGCTTTTAATACCGAGATGATCGAATTATCATAGTCAAATAATCGGTTCATATACAATGATCGTCAATCGAACTTTTACTTTCCTTCTCTTTGCGTATTCTTCTCATTTGCTGTCTATCGGTTTCAATTATATTGATCACCAGCAATAATTGTGTACGAGCATATATTTCGTTTGGTGTTTTTTCTCCTCTTCATTTCATTTTTTTTCTTTCTTTCATGATGTTTGTTGTTCATTTCTACATTTGTTTCAATCTGGCATTATTATTTTTTCTCATCTATCTAATCGAACACATAATAGTTCATACAATGTTATACGTTGTCTCTCATCTTCTAATTCACTAGCTATCAAAGTAGTTGTCATTTGTTTTTTTTCAAATCGTTACTCTATTATCTTCTTAATCACTATCATTGTCTTTGCTCGTGCCGATGCACTCGTATCGCGGCGGATGGGTGTGTGACGGATTCTACCCGTCACTACTCTTCATGACCCCGATCGGGCACATCGGTCATGTTCTAATGTTCTATTCATTAATCATTCTCTCTCGTTTTTCTCTCTGCTGGAATATATATACTGCGTTCATATATTATCGTTATTCATTATTGAAATAATCTCAGAACGAGTGAGTCGTTCCATCACAACCATCTTTGAGACAATAACAAATTTTTGTTTCTCAGGCAAAATTTCAATATTACGTTGTTTATTATGACCGAATCCCCATCCGTGTGAATACTGCTACACTTCCAGTGAATGTATTTCATTTACAACACGAGTAGTTTTACAATTTGTATTGAACTCCATTGTGGACCTATTCACGGGAAAAATTCTTAAACTTCAACTTATAAGTGATGCCTAGTACTTTTATTGAATGTAATGATCCCACGAAAATTTTGCAATATAACAGCGAGAAGCTGAATGAACTGAAACATATAGCCTGTTTAATAACAAATGATGGAACCTGCATTGTTTTACCCTGGCATCATCGCCTCATTGAAAAATTTGAAGGAACGTCTTCTCAAGAAGTTAGAAGAAGATATGAAAAAAAAACAAAAATTTTAATATGAATTCATTCACGTCATCTGGTGCACCACCTATTGATAATCAAGTAAAATCCACTGATCAACTTCGAAAACATTTAAGTACAATCGTTTCTCAATGGTATCTTAATCATCGTGTTGAATATAATTTGATAAATGATAGTATACTAGAAGAAAATGTGGATTATAAGATTGAATTTAAAAATACAAGCAATGGTGATCAATTAGCAATCATTACATGCGGCTGTGGATCTAGATTGACTTTAAGTCGAGCGAGTAACAACAGTTACTTTCAAGTGAGTGTCTTTTTTTCCAGGGGGAACAAGCGGTCTTCTGTACTTCTTCGTACTTTTTCGTACTTCTTCGTACTTCTTGGTACTTCTCGGTACCCATGAAAAACAAATTTGTAAAAATTTGCGTTTCAACGCATTTTTTCTGGTTCACATGTTTTCACTAGACTTTGAACGCAGTTTTTAAAACGCATTGAACCGCATCATTTAGTAATTGAAAACGGATATGTATCGAATAAAACGCGTTTCTAAAAATGCATTTGAATGCGTTTAAATGGCATATTATTGTTACAAAAGAACGTATAAGAGCGATTCCCTGTGAATCATTTTGAATGTATCCTATTTACAGCTAATTTTCTAGTAATGATGGATATATATGTATCTAATCTATGTATATCTACTCCTTTAGAAGTTAGCAAGAATTGTACTTGTGTTTCTTCCTCTAGGTCTTTTTTTTACACATTTACCGAATAATATATGTAAAAAAATGACTTCTAGAGGAAGAAACGCAAGTACGATTCTTGCTAACTTCTAAAGGAGTAGATATACATAGATTAGATACATATATATCCATCATCACTAGAAAATTATATGGAAATAGTATGCTTTCAATTTGATTAAGAGGAGATCGCTCAAACATGAACTCTTATTAGATTGCAACAATTAGTCAGATCTAACTGGAGTTTGTATGGTAATTTTCACTTCTCGGAAGGATAGATAGGGTTAACTAGGGACAAACGAAAAGAAGGATATGGCTCGAGTAAAATAAATGAAAGAGAAGATATGGTTAGAGTTTAAAAAAGCGAAAAGTAGTGTATGTTTAGGGTAAAATAAGCAAAGAATACAGTAAGGTCGGATCGAAGAAAAGCTTCGTATGCAGAAAAAGAAGATGGAAAAAATAGTCTTGTAAAAACCTAATTCGAACTAAAAGTACAGAATCTGGCGATTATATACACAAATGGACCAATACTAAAACAGTACTCATATTGAAGAAAATTTATAAGTTTTTTGCTTTTTTACATGTAAATCCAAAATTGCTTTTGAATAAAACAGAATTATATTTGAAAAATATATGTTATTAGCTATGTTTTGAGTACCATCTATCAAAGAATTTTGTTTTTTTTCAAAAAATAATTCAGACTCACCCAGAAAGACCTTTCAATTTATAATAGGAAAAAGAAGAATTTTTATAATAAGAAAGTTTATTCAATGATATTCCATGTATGTCAAATTACATCAGCTGCAACTATTGTTTAATAACAATGAACTTTTTTGAATTACGAGATCACATAGAAGAGAAGAATAGAAAATGATAGAAAATATCACACTTCGCACAAGAGTTATCATTACAATTTTAATCACTAATGGAAAGGAACAAACATATTCCAAACACTGATTATGTAACTCTCGAAAGATTTCTAAACGTACTATAATTATTCAAATTTTCATTGGAGAACAAAGCAGCTAGCGTTTCTGAACGGCCTATAAAAGTAGTGAATATTGAAAAGAAATAGAAACTTTTATTTCTTTGAAAGAACATTCGAAAAGTTATAAATATATAAATACTATTCCTTTTATTCTATTTTGATCTAGCTAAGTTGGGCGAAAAATTATCAGTATGCAATAAATGCACAACAAAAGGTATTACATTTACAACCTTAAATTATTCCAAATTGACACAATTTCAAGACTACCGGTCTTTATAGACGTAGAAATGTACATTATTTTGATCTCACTAGTAAAATTACATTAATAACGACATCAAATAATTTAGTGTTACAAATTTAGTCTTTATGTAACACTAGAAAAGATGAAATATTGCTGAATTTTATTACAAAAAAAGTTTTGTGCTATAATGTTGAATTTGAGACAATTGATTTTGATCATCATATTCATGTTAATGTAAATGATATGAATATGGAAATGTATGCTACTATTAATTTGAAAATTTTTATTTTATTCGGTATCTAACGTTAAGTGAGTCTAGTTTGAGAACACGTTACTACTTATCTTGAATTGTTGGCTTTTCTTTTGTATAAAATACATGCTGTCTTTTTCAACATTATTCGAGTATATTTTTTATCTTATTATATCACAGAGTCGTTCTGAACAGCTATACCTTTTAACTTACATATGTTGACATTCATGCCACCCAACATTTATTCTAGTTAACATAGATCTCTATTGTATATAAGAGCCAGTCCACATAAGCCACGACCGATTGCTATAGGACCTGCTCAATCGATATCCTCCGATTCGGCTCATTTTAATATGTGTGATAGAGGCAAGAGTTTGATAAATTTTGGCGAAAGCCGATTCAAAAAATATTGAACTCTCGATTTTTTATCGAATTTTTACGAAGAGCACTATAAAATCCCACTTTAACCGAAGACCATTTTGGGTATCCTATATTTCAACAACAACTCAACCAAGTGAGCTGAAATTTTCTGTGAATTGATAGACCAATAGTATCTGCACACAGAAAATATTTCAGGTTCAACGATTGAGCCCTTGGTATTCTATGAATTTCCTTATTTAAGGAAAAAGTCACTAATTCGGCCAACTTTGGTACTTTATATCTCCTGACTGGAGAGTGATAGAGGGCTGGAATTTTTTTTTTAAACATGTATTGATGAAATATTATTGCTGTGAAAATTTCAGCTCCCTAGAGCAAACTATTCGTTCAGGATACTTTCGGCAAAAACGGGCTTTTCGTCCAAAATCCAGTTTTGGGCCTCGGCTTTCAAGAGTTGTGACACCTGAAATTTTGCCCGAGTTGCCTAGTCTGAAAGATTTCACTGAGGTCTACAATGTCAGGCAAGAATCAAGCTGGAACAAGTAGAAACGGCTATGAAATCGATTCATCTTTTTGACAAAAAATGCAATTCATAACTTTTTTCTAGATACCCTACCTTTCTCAGATTTCTAGAGAACTACTCATCAGAAAAAAGTGAAACTGTCAGAGCAGATAGATCTTGGGTCGTGGAGTAAAAGCTGCGCTAGACACAAATTTGCACAATGCTTTCATTTGTGAGATACCCAGATTCTAATGAATCAAAAGTTCGTTCGTAAATCAAAAGAAAAGTTTCATCTCATGAAATAAATTCTACCCACTATTAATCAACAGACGAACCTTGTTTGATTTCTAAAAAAAGTCCTTTGAAAATGAAAGGAATTTGAGAAAAACACGCTTTCATCAAAAGCCGTAGAGGGGGATACGGGGAATTTTAAAAAAATTTTTTTTTCCTTTTCAAAGGACTTTTTTAGAAATCAAACGGTATTCATGCGCTGTTTAGTAGTACGCAGAGTTTATTGCATGGGATGGAATTTTTCTATTAATTTACGAACGAACCTTTGATCCATTAGCATTTAGGTATCTTGTAGATGAAAGCTTTGTGCAAACTTGCTTCTAGCGCAACTTTTACTCTACGATCCGAGATCTATCTGCTCGAAAAGTTTCACTATCCTCTGATGAGCTGTTCTCCAGAAACCTGAAAAAGACGAGGTACCCGTAAAAAAGTTATCAATTGCATTTTTTGCCAAAAAGATGAATCGATTTCAGAGCCATTTCTATGTGTCCCAGCTTGATTCTTGCGTGACATTGTAGACCTCAGTGAAGTCTTTCAGACCAGACAACTCAGGCCAAACTTCAGGTGTCACGACTCTTGAAAACCGAGCCCCAAAATCGGGATTTTTGCAAAAGTTCTGATTTTGTCCAAAGTACCCCGGACGAACGCTTTTCTCAACGGAGCTGAAAATTCCACTGCAACAAGATCTTATTGCGATATATTTGTAAAAAAAATTTCAGCCATCTATCATTTTCCAGTGTAGAGATATGAGCTACCAAAGTAGGTCAAAATAGTGATTTTTTTCTCCAATAGTGAATCCCATAAAAAATCAAGGACTTAAGCCTTCAAGCTGAAATTATTTTTTGTGTGTAGAAATTGTTGGTGTATAGAACTACAAAAAATTTCACCTCGATTCGTTGAATCGTTCTTGAGATATAATGTGCTTAAAATCCTTTGCCGATGAGTGTGGAGCTTTATAATGCTCTTCGTAAAAATTCGACAAAAAATCGAGAGTTCAACATTTTTTGAATCGGCTTTCGTCAAAATTCATCAAACTCTTGCCTATATCACTTATGTTTAAATGGGCTAAATCGGAGGATACCGATTGAGCACTGTCGATCGTGGCTTACGTGGACTGGCTCATATGCATTTTAAATAAGTCGTATAATCCAAGCGATTCGAAGGCGAACTGTTAATATACAGAAAAATAGTTCGATATATAAGTCTTGTACTAGCAGACATTGAGAACAGCTTTCCAATTATAATAAAAATCTTTAAGTCTACAAACAACTGTCCTTTGAGCAGTTACATGAATAACGCATTTTATGCATCACTAGCATTTGTCAATATAAAGTTGCTATCAGTTAGTTAGAAGCAAATAAAAAAGTTGAATATGAACAATTACTACATACGAGAAATCAAATTTGCATTTATTATTGGTGATAGAAAAATTTCAGAATCTATACAGAGAGAAAGAAAAGTGGCGATTGTTCGTTTTCCTGTGTAGCATACATTCTCGTGATGTTTTTCAAAAATAGTTTTCACTTTTTTTTGTGCGTATCAAAAATATTTGAAGACGAAAGAATTAGATAATACGATAAATATACCTCATTTTTATGAGGAAAGATCAGTATGTTGATTGAACATTACCAACAAGGAAATCTATTGAATTATCTTATAACTGACCTAGCGCTCTAAATAAACTGCCCTATTTGATTGTCATATGATTTTCGAAATATTTTTTTGTATCAATTAGTTGTTCATACCTAGAGTTTCCATTTATACTTGTTTATTAATGTTTTTCATAGACAAATTCATGTTAAGATATGAGCAACGATGCTTTTTGTGAAGCTAATGAAATCGAATCTAATAATTTTTTTTATCTTATAAAAGTAATGGCTAGTGACATTAAATATGAAATTTTTTAAGTTTACTACCCCACCTATAGTAATAAGCGAATACACATAATCCAAAATATTATCTATTATCGATTGTCATATGCTGAGAAATCTTGATGTGTCTTCTATCACGGAAAAACAAATTAGTCTAGTTGATTGAGGTTGAGTGAATCTCTTTGATTTTTGTGCTATAAAGATGCATATCGGACATTTTGCGTATCGATAATTTTTCTAAAAAAAATGCTCTTAGCTTCCAGAACGTATAGTAAGCTCTCGTCGTCACGACGTTTGCCTGGGATCATGAATGGCCACTTTGGGCAACATTCGACAAGGTATTTTTAATTGACAGAAATATGTCTTTTATTCCGCAAGTATCTTGTTCGAAGTATACATTTTTTTTTCATACAAAATAGTCTTTAGTAAATATCTCTCATGAAAAATCCCCAACGATGACTCTGGTGCCTCATTGGGAAAAGTATATCAGAAAACGGCTGACGGAATGAATATTTAGTGCTACATTGAATCATACAAAAATAGAAAACAACGCTTTGCTCATAAGACCGTCAGCGTCATTTTAGAATGAATCGGTATATTCTGTCGACAGAATAATGCTCTTTCATTTTAGCATAGATTGATGGCCGATAGAAATAGATGCACTGTCATGGACCAGTGGTTGAATTATAGGACTCATAGAGCTATTTTTACAAAACGATACGATCTTATTCAAAGAAGCATACCTGATTTTGGCGTTGGATCAGGTTTTGATGATGACTTATGTGGTGATATTGTAATTTTCGACATAGCAGCGGCGCTGGCTGTAGACTGACTTGTTTGGGGAGAATCTAAATGAAGAAAAAAAGTCTTTTCATTAACTGTATGAGTTCATGCTAGCAATAATATGGGCATTATCATCTCTGCTTCGTGTTGATTCGCTGATCAATCGAATATGGATCAATAGAGAACAGAATACCCTCCGTTCATGGCTAGTACCAGATTTGGAACGACATTTGAAAAGCAAATCAAGCTTCAAACCAAACATCGATATCTATTCTAGAGACGTTTCTACGTTCCTCTATTACATTGGTAGAACATGACTTATCCTCCTATGAAGTCTGAATTTTTCGGTGACATTACTTTTGTAATCTAAAGAGAGCATTTTCTATCCAGCTATCATTTATCAACATCATTTCAGTTTCTGATAGGCACATTGAACAGGATGTATATCCCTCCATTCTATTCTTTTCGAGAATAAATGTAGACAGTTCTCTGATTAAAATTCAAAACATCATCTGTGCAGCTGAAAAGTGGTTCTCTTTAACATAACTCTGTTTTCTCTAGAAGTTCTCTTCAAAATGTTGCCTTCTTTTATGGGTGTGGGTGTGCGTCTGAGTGGGTATGGATGTAGATGGGTGTGTGAATCTGGGTGGAGTGTGGGTATGGGTGTCGGTGTCTTCTCTTTATTCACACCCACATCTATACCCACAGTCACACCCACTCACACTCCACACTCACACCCACACCTCAGATTCCATATAAAAAGTAACATGTACGACCCGAGTGAAGCATCTTTTGATATGTGCATGAAATACTTGAGCTTCTTGAGCAAGAATATCATGCGCTATTGACAAATCTTGAGGGCTGCGCATAAGACAAAAAATTCTATATAAAAATGAGTAGTTGTGAGTTCCAATCATTTGCCAGATCGAACATTATTCACTTGAAAATAAGTTTGACTTGTGAAAATAAAGCTACTGCTTTTAAGCCCCTCTCAAAAAGTCACTTGTCGCCAGAATGGTTGAAATTAAGATAAATGCATAGGAAGATAGCTCGTCATTTAGCCTTTGATAAAGGATAAAAATTTTTATTCAACACCTCATTTTTTCCAAAAATTTTTGAAGCTTTCTGTCGACCCCCATTCGAAAAATAAGCTGTGTTTTAGAAAAATCAAAAAATCTTTTTTCGTTTTTCCTCAGTTTATAGTTTCTTAAGCGCGCAAGCCAAATTTCTTTGTCGATACTTAATCAATGTATTTATTTTTTTCTTTGAAAGAACGCGTCAAGACGCAGTGCAGTACAGAACGCTTTTTTAAATTAAGGTATTCTTCATTATTTAGGGAGACACTTATACAACTCGACACCCATTTTTTAAGGCTTTTTAAGTCATTGAACTTTCGATCTCTTTTTTCCCTTAAAAAGTAAGTATTTAGAAAAGGATTCTGTACTGCGCTGCATCCTTACATGCTCTTTGAAATAAACAAAAAATTAATTCTCTCTAATTAATCTGAATAGGGAAATTTGGTTTGCCAAATGAGCTATTTTTCATCTTTGTTTGGTCAATATCTTCCTCAAGCGTCATGATATTGGGCTGAATATTTTACCATAGCTTATTCGCAACAACCCCAACCTTTTCTGAAAATTTCATGACATTTGAATGTTCCTGGACTGAGATTGATTTTTGAGAGGACCTTACGCACAATTTTAATGAAATTTTTTCCTCCCATGCGCATAACTTTCTTGAGATTCTTGAACAAGAAAGGCATGCGCTATGAATAAATCTTGAGGTCTGCGCATGTCAAGAATGCGAAAAAACAAGTACGACTAGGAGATATTCATTTCCATTCAAATAGCTTTCTGTTACGTAATAACATTTTCGATTCGTTCAGCATAACTGTCATGATAAAGAAATTTATGAAGGAAGAAAAAATACCAATATTTATCATTAAAAGATTGCCTCAAGACCATCGCAAAAGAAGGAACGAATGAAAGCTAAATCAGATGATCGTAAATAGTTTTATCGATTTGATTCTAACCTTCAACTGTATTGAATATCTGAAGTGGCTGTTTCATAAGCAAAAACAAGATTTATTGATGAAATTGCATGACTTGTCGAATTCAAGTTCGAATATAAATGGAGAACTAACTAATTATGATGACTTCGAAAATGAATTTAAAAAGTGGCTTTCCTGTTGAAACAGCTAAAAAGCATTCCATTGTAGAAGCAACAAAAAAAGCTTGTTAGCGTAGCTCCTTTGGGGCTGAAATGTGGAATTCATATATCTTCTTTAGTTTCATTATACTAATGACAAAATATATAATGTTTAAATTCTCTCAAACACGATAATTTTTATTTAATGATCATTGATTGTCAGCAAATGTTGTCTTCTTTTATTTATATACTTTGAACAGAATTTTTTTTTATGAAGTTGCTGTGATCTGTAATGGTGGCGGGGGGGGGGGGAGTGTCTGTAATTGTGACCTACGTTGCTACGGTCTGTAATGGGAGCCTGTCTGTAAGGAGTGGAGGGTCGTGAAACCTTGACCTTAAAACTTAAACTCATTATTTTCTTCGAAAATATAGGTGAGTTCCACAAAAGACAAAAGATAAAATTCATATAAATTAACTCTGATGCCAATAATGCTAAAGCATCAGTTTCAGTCTGGAATGCCAACAAAAAAGCTTCTGAGCGCAGATCCTTTGAAGCTGAATCGTGGAACTCACATATATTCTTCAATCTTGTTGTCCTCATACATCATTTGTAAACTGAAAAATTTTTTGTCGACTATCGTTGTTTTCACCAATAATCGATGACAAGAGCGAGAATTTATTATTTATTTCTACCTTTAAAACTGAAAAAGTCTTCTTCGTTCGAGAACTCCCGACTGCATTTATGATTGTTGCTATATACTCGATAATAGTTATTTTTTTTTGTTTTCAGTATTTTGAAATTATTATTTTTTTTTTCCATCGACTATTTCATGAATAAGAATATTACAATAATACAGTTTCTATGCATTAGCAGCTCTTACCACACTACTATAGACTTCAATCAATCCATAAATGGTGATATTGTTTACTTTTCAAACTGATAAAAACATGAAAACATGCTTCTCATGTTGATTATATAAGTGCTATGACGGATCAATATATATTACTACTCTACATCTTTGATTTTTAACAAACAAGTTTAAATTCTAAAAAAGTCAACGATTATACTATTAACAACTTTAACAAGCGTATAATAGTTTTTTTCAAATAATTATGAAAGTATTGAAATATCGTATAGTAGTCGAATTCATATTCTTCATACTGATCAACGCGTTTTTTTTTATTGTTAAATAAATTTGAAGCCTTTTGTGCGTGGTTGCTGAGGTCTATAATGGGGAGGAGGAAGCCGCAAAAACTTGAACTTAAAACTTACATTCACTATTTTCTTCGAAAATATACGTGAGTTCCACAAAATCATTAGTATTTTTAAGCAATGCTAAAGCGATACTTCTACATTAAAGTATTCAATTCACTCAAAATACTTTGACCCAAGTAAGTGGTCCTTTATCTCAGTGTCGTGGCGTGGAGACGCGTCGCATTCCGACGCCGCGACCCATACTCATCTGTGCGTACACAATGATGAGTATAGGTCCCATTCGCATGATAATTGGAATGCAAATAAAAAATTTTTTCTTTTGCTCTTTTCCCAGCTTCGGCAGGGATGTACCATCGAATTCATAAACTTATAATTTACATGCGGTGATCAAAAATTTCTGAGAACTAGTAATATCTCTTCAATAAGAAGTTCATCATATTTATTTGTCTGCAGCAAAGGTTAGAAGACATCATAACAATGTTCGACAGCAAGTTGCATTTACTTTTGAATGATCTTTTTGTACTCATCGGCAATGTGCCAAACTAGTTGCTCGGCTACCCACTAAATTAAAATGCGTCGTGTTTATATGTCGTGAATTATTGTGTCGTGCACAGAATGTGTCGCATACGAATTTTTCGCGTTCCGTCTGCTAACTAGTCGTTCACCCTTTTATTATGCAGACATGACGATATATAAACAACGTGGTTGAACGTAAGAAAGATGAATTTTCAAAATATTCTTTTTTTTCTAAATTATTTCTCGATAGTCTTTGTCGAGAAAATGCCAATCTCGATTCATCATCGAGAAAGGACTACATTGGAGTCGTCTGATGCAAATCAGATCAACTCGAAGCAGGACAGATCTCAGGATCTAACCTGCTACAGTTTTCACCATAGAAATAATTCAATGGAATTATATTGAACAGAAAAAAATTGAAATAATTATGCTTTTCGAAAAGAACCAATAGAAAATGTGTCGCATGTGTCGTACAAAATGTGTCGCAGTCTCGCTGCAGAAAATGTGTCGCAGTGAGCTCCTTGTGTCGTACTACAATGTGTCGTACAATGTGTCGCAAATCATGACACATGCGACACATTTTTATTTAGTGTGTATTGCTTAATTATTTAAATTTATTGCATCTAAGTAGATATTTAATCTATATTTTAAAATAGTTGAATAATAGAAGCTCAGACGAAACGAGACCAGTTGAATGTGTCTGATAGACCATATCTTTAAATTCTCTCTTTGTCGGGAAATTTAATAACAGTACTTTTTATATACGGTTTATAGTACCATGAGAGATTTGATACTACTGATACCTCATTATAGTTTTTGTTGAAAAGCTCCTTAACTGATGCTTTTTCAACGTGTTTGCCATCATTAGATAGTATTAACAAATCATAGTCAATGCACCTGACGAATAAGTAATGTTCACGTTATCATAAAGACAATGACGAGTGTCGTTTCTTTACATGTTGTCATCTTTTTACGACAAGTAAAATTTTTTCTTCGTTTACAGACTAGGATTTCCCTCTTGTGTCTACCTAATATTGCAATACCTAATTTGTCTTTCAACGTCCATCATTATATCACATCATCGCAGTCCGTTTCATTAAACCGGTCAATTTTTCGGTACTGAAGCAATGAGTATAACTAAGCAAGAACCGAACTATCAATTCGAGACATATCGATGAATATAAAAAGATTATTCAAAGGTAAATTGGAGTTGCTATCAAAATTATGTAAAATTTATTTTTTGTGTTTTTCTGTTATCGCGAGAGGATTATGTTTATTTCAACAATTTTGTCTTTTGGTTTTTAGGTACCAGAACATGGAAACTGATTTTTTAAAACTTTTCATTTATATTCGAACTCGAATTAGGCATTTACTCTGAGATCGAGTAGATCATTTCACGAACTTTTGCTTTTCTAAACATTCAAAATATTTTTTTCTACTCATCATATATTTGGTTTCATATGGGGTAGTCGCACTCCAAAATAATAGGCTTTCTGTCAATAAACTTACCCTTAATATTAGTTGTTTGACGAGTACTTGAACTGCCAGCTGGTTGACTTTGTTTTTTGAAGTCGAGAGCTTTTTGACGCCATTCCATACTTTTGTCCAAGTCACCGACGTGTGATGCTAGTCTGCCAAGATCTTGATATAGATGACGACGTAATGAGTCATTGGCTGGGAGTTGTTCTAACAAGCGAATAAAATATTTTTCAGCCAGATTAGGTTTTCCCATCTCCCACAATATTTTTCCTAATGTTTGAAGACTTGTTTCTCCACTAATAAATTGCTCTTTCATATCCATGAGAACTTGTCTTAAATCATGTTCATCATCACTGCAAAATGTCATTTGAATGATCCATACTTGGCCATCGCTACTGCGTTTGATATTATCCAGACGAAAAATAGAGCCCAACATAAATAGGACTTCGCATTCATCTTTATATTCACATTGTGAACTAATATCAGCAAATGGTTTTGTAATGGCCACATTAGGGTTAGCATCAATTTCAAATAATACTGGTACTAAATTATCTGTATCATTAGTAGCATTGAGAAATGAAAGAGCCTGCTGTTTATCGGTACTGGTGGAAAAAAATGAATTTATTGAAATGAATTGACCACGGTTCTCTTTCAATGTTTTTAGTTCATCATTCAATATCATTTGACTACGATAAACTCGCAAGGAATGTTTAGCTTGATGGGCTTTTAGTTGTCGATGAATATCCAAGATATATGCACGAAACAAAAGCATAAAATGAATATCTTGCTTACGAAGAGCTGCATTTAGAGTCTTATAAAAGAATGTTTCTCGTGAATACCACCATAGAACATTGTTAGATGAATAATCTTGTTGAAATTCACGAATATTGTTCAATTCGAAGCTATTACCTTGATATTGTTGTTTACATAATTCAATAAGTTCCTTTTTGTCTTCTTTAGTGTATTTTAGTCGTAGAAGACAATCAATTAGAACTTGAGAAAAAACAAATTGACCATTTAAACCTGTTGTTGATTTACCTGAGCTCGGACTGGTCGTAAAAATATTAATTGATAGAGGTTCTTCAACTTTTTTCTGGATTCTGTGATCAGCTGTAATTCGAACTATAAGTTCATCAAGGTCAACACAAACAGCTTTTACCTATTAAAAAAAAAGAATCATAAAATAAAAACAAAATCATTTGAAAAAGTTTTACTTTTGCGAAATTGCGAGCCCATTTTTCGTTACCTTCCTTATCCATGCAGTACACATAGATCGATATAACTTGTCGAAATTTATGAATAGAAGGAACTATTTCTCGTCCCAATCGACCACTAACAATCATAACTACTCGTTCATCTTTTGATCGTTCTTCAATAAATTTTTGACATTCTTTCACATCTTGAAATTTCTTAAGATGATTAATGATTGAACGTAATTTTCGTTCTGTATCTCGAGTTTCATTGATATTGGCGTCGAGCCAGACAAGACAGAAAATTTCAACAGTCATATCATCAAATTTTGTATGGAAGTGATCAGTTGGTGGGATAGGAGTGGCCATTGTAATTAACAAGACTAAATTGAATTGATGTTTTGAATATTGCCGTTTTAATTTGCTTAGTAAATGTATGAGTACTTTTTTATAATCTAGAACCAATATTAAATGTTGGCTTTTATTATTTTATTTATTAGTGTTTATTATATTATGTAAGTGAAGAGAAGAACAAGATGTTTATATACTCATCAAAGATAATAAATTTCTGGTGAGTATTAACGTCTGTAAGTAGGATCATCGAGTCAAGATGTAAAACTTTAGCATAGATCGAATTTATTTAGTTTTTTTCTGTCTAGTCATGCCAGACGAAAATAAACCAGATGATATAATCTCACACTAAGTTGGCCACTATTAGATGGTACTGTGTAGTTTGTTAATTTCAATCAGTATAGAGTGAATAGGCTTAGGACAGCTCGAAAAAGTGCCGAACTGCTGAATCGTTCAAAAAACGGAGCTGAACTATTTACACAGTTCAGCTCGGCCCAGAGAACTGATCGAACTGCCACTAATAAAATCTCTATAGGTTTCCAAGGCCTATTCTGGGGGTACCCATAAGTTCTCAAGGGCTTGTCAGATCTTGAGGGTGTGGGTGTGGGTGGCTATAGGTATATCTTGTCTTCACCCACACCCACTCGATCACCTGAGAACGTGCTGGAATTTCAAAGAAAGTAAAATTGTAAAAAGCGCGCATGTTTACATGTTCAAAATGCCTTAAAGCTTTTGGACGAATATATTTTCGTCCAAGATTTTTAACGCATTTAAGAACGAGGAAAAATATACCCTTTTTATTATTTCGTTTTTGTTCAAGAAGATTACAGCATTCTTACACATTCAGTTTTTGAATCAATGGTATCTCAAGAAAAAACTATTATGTTTTATAGGACTTCGTTGGTTGAGGTATAGTTTAAATCAGAGATGGAATCGGTCTAGTTTTTTCAGACCGGTACCGGTACCGGTCTAAAACAGTAAGACCGGACCGGATCGGACCGGACCCGACCGGCCGGTCTACCGGTAAAACTGGTCTAGACGGGCAAAAACCGATCTACCGGCAAAACCGGTCTAGACCGGTTCAGCGACCGAAACCGATTTACAGAAAAAAAATGGATCTGACCGGTCTACAGGGCAAAACCAGTTTACCAGTATTAAACAGAATGCTGACCATACGTCAGTTCATAAAAGAAAAACCGACCTACCGACGAAATATCGATCTACAGACAACAGGCTAAGGCTTGAAATGAAGCCTTGTTTCATAGTGAACTCTTTTGCGGGCTACCTTCGTACTTTCACGCATACTGGCATAATGTTTCCCCGTTGATAACAATAGTCTCACTGATGGGTATTTTGAAAATTGTTTTTTAAATAAATTCCTGTGTGATCAGTGGAACTAGTCTTGGTGCCAGTTGTTTTTTCATATGATTACCATCATAGAGCAGGAAAGTGAAAAATATAGATCGGTATAAGGCAGTTTCGAATGGTTAGACCAGTTTCGATCGGTCGATCCAAAATTCAGACCGGTACCGGTTCCATCTCTGATTTAGATGAATTCTTAGAAGAATCCGAATCTTGTGACCATCTTGTAACGAATGACTTTTAGTTTTAGTTTGACCTTTGGGATGCTGTATAAAATGGAAAACTCCTTTAAGTTTGAAATTTTACCCAACCAACCATTCGATAGGTATTTCGATGCGTCGATTTTGGCTTCCGTTGGGTATCGAAATTTCAAATCGACCCCTGGAAGTGCCATTTTCCGATGGGTCGAGGGCTCGGCGATAGGTTGTTTTTACTAGCAATTTTCAACCACTCGAATAATCGTTTCCGCTGGATCGGAATTTCATCGAAAAAAAGAATTTTTATCCGATAGATGTCTCAATTTCGAGTTGTCCAGACCCATCGTATATAAATTTCGAGTCGTCGAAACCTATCGAACATATGCGGAGAAGTAGATTTGAACATGAGTACTTACGATTCACTTTCGTCAAACAGTTGAGTTAAATATGAACTATTATTCGTATATCGAAACGACCTTTTTAATTCATAAGAAGATAGTACTTATTGTTTTTCATGCTTTTTTATTTTATTTTTTGAAAACTGAAAATAATACTTTGTGTCCAGAGAGAAAATTTTCTTTTAAACATTATAAATAATATTTTTCATCCAGAAAAAAGTTTATTTTTTGAACACTAAAAATTATATTTTTTTATCGAGAAAAATTTTTTTATCATGAAAAAAAATTTCACCCAGAAAGAAAACTTTTTATATCTTTGTAAGTGACACAAGAACTTTTTTTTATTTAAGATTCCGTATAAATTACTTATGGAATAAAAATGACGTGTAATATGAGATAATCGATCAATTTGCACGTGGAAGCATGAGGTCAATATTTAATAATTTTTTTTTAAATTCACAACGTGGACATTCATTATTGCTGTCGTAGTCAAAAAAGCAGGCGAAGTTTAGTTTTAGTTTCAATCGGTGGACGATCAATTTTGTTCAGAAAATTCTAAAATTAAGGTGAATTATGAAGCAAATTCGAATAATTCTACTAAAATTATTAAATAAAAATAAAGAATATTTTAAAATCGGATTTTGAAGTTTCACATGATCAAGATTATAGACTCCTCTATCAAAACTGTTGTTATGATCGGTTTTACTCTTTTGAAGCACTCAAAATGATCCTTTCAACATGTTTGTTTTAGTCGAGTGATTAAAATGTGTTAGAGGAGTCTCGGTAGTATTATTTCGATGGGTGACTTCTCTCGGAGTACTCGAAACTTCGATGAGTGCCGAGGTGTCGAAATATATACGACGAGTCGAAAATGAGTCGTCGATAGGACACAGTGTCCGAGTCCTCGAAATTCGATGGGTGTCGAGGGGATCGAAATTGAAACAGAACGAACAAAATATATATATCAAATTTTCGACCGCTCGTCGCACCCATCGCATGCTTTTTTTTGTTTGCTTGGGTATGTACGCTCTTACAGATCAAAGTAAAGTAATGAATCATTTGCTACAGAATCGTTACCAGATTGAATTCTTATAAGAATTCATCTAAACGATACTTCAAGCAACCCAATTTTCAGGAATATGGTTTTTCTCTCTAGAGATTAGAATCCCTCATCCGATCAAAAAAAATATGAACTGCTCTATATATTTCTGCATTAATACATTGTTCAAACGTTCATCTTATCGGGAAATGTTCTCTCTTGCGCATCATATACTTAGAGAAGCACTACAATACTTTCTAGCTAAAATATTTTAATACAAAAATTTCCGATCAGATGTGGAACGGTGACAATGGTCTACTGGTCCAACGATGCGCCGTTCATCATCTTATCTGTACATGGTGCACCAGTGGCATCGATCCAAACTATAAGGTGCGGCTAATGAAAAAGCTGAGCAAAAATGAAACTTCGTTTAATCACTCACAAGTCGACACAGCTGGTAACACTAATTACGAATATAGTTTTTGGTTTTTTAGATCTTGTTTTAAACAAACAATTTGAGGAGTAATAAAGAGTCTGCAGAAGAACCAAAATTGCCATCTATGTAGATAATCAAAGATTACTCTATTTTACGCTGAGTATTCTTTCTTGTAGCTATTTTATTTGAATTCAGTATAAATAACTGTAGCATCTACATGAACTTGAGGAAATTTTATCGCTGTAGTGCGATTTGGCTGGTTTCACAAGACTCACTTTTGACTGGACTGATAAGTGGGCTTTGCAAACCTATCTCCTTTTTTGCAATAAGACTTGAAGCTGTTTCTATATAGTATTCAAACCATCAGGACAATTGCAAAAAAGTTACATATACTCTTGACTTAAGGCCTTAGCATTGTTGAGAAACACGACTTTTTTCGCAGGAATGACAAAATGGCTAAAGTTAGGATTCCATTTTGAAATTTTCTATGTTGAATACATCCTTTGGACTAAACGGATATATTATTCGAAATCAGCATAAAACACTGCATCGAATGGTCTATATATTGTCAGAAAATATTCACCATCAAAATTTGGCTTTTTGTTCCTGTTAGCTATTTTCTAGTTAATTTTGTCATTAGCCAAGCACATGCCAAATTTTGACGTCAAATATTTTTTGGTAAAATACAGGCCATTCAATGCAGTTTCTTGTTTACAATTTAAATCAAATAGCTTTAGCAAAGAATATTCAGCGTAAACTAGAGTAGTCTTTAAATTTCCAAATAAGTAGCTACTTTCGGTTCTTCCGGAGACTTTACTTCTTCTTGAACTTTTTGCTTAAAGTGAAGTCTAAAAAATCAAAATGTATATATTCATAATCAGCAATGCTTGTTCTGTCGACTCACGCATAATCAAGTGAAGTCTAGTTTTTGCTCGGCATTTGCATTATCCGCATCTTACTACGATGATTGTTACTATCGATGACCATTTTCAATTTTTAACCTAATGGGAATTGGAACCGGTTAAAGATGCGAAGTTATCGTTACATAAATAGTTACTTTATCAGTCACTGGGTGAAGGCAAATTCCTGGGTTTAATTCTTTGATCAACGCAAGGCTATTATTGGAAAATAACGACTTTTTTTTTACAAAGTTTGATCAAAGGCATTTGAGATCGTGGAGTCCGAGTTTGAAATCCGTTTTTCAAAATTTTGAATTTGATTTGTTTCACTAAAGAAAGAATTTTTGGAAAAACAACGCTTTTTTGAAAAAAAATTTTTAGAAAATTTCTCAGAGTGGAGGCCACTCAACTCTGAAGTGAAATACAGAGTTCCGAGAAACTAATTGAAGATTTAGGTTCCTAGACTTCCGAACGTCTTTGGCTAAATTTTGACAGGATATTGGGGTGTAGTGGGTATAGGTGTTTGTTGTTTCTCGGAGACACTCAATAGAATATCGACATTCAGATTCGGATTTTTTTTATTAAAATATTTTGACTGAAAACTATCGTATTGCTTGTCTAGATACACAAGAGAGAAGAGAAAACATTTCCCTACAAGATGCACTCTTGAATAATGTATTGATGCAAAAATTGATAGAAGAGTGCATATTTCTTTGACCAGGTCCAAAAGAAATGTTTGGATCCAGTGAAAAGCTCTGTTAGAGATACACTCGATTCAAACAGCAAGCGTTTAACAACATGTAGAGATATGCCGTAAAAATTATTCCACCTTTATAAAGTCAATCGAATTACTATACGCTGTGTAAAGGTGACATATATAAAGATTGTTTTATAGATTTTGGGGTCACTTAGAGTTTTTTTTTCTGTATTTTTCGAGTATATAACGTTGGCTAGACGTAGAAAAAAATATATGTGTAAAATCTAAACTATCATCCAAAATTGACAATGCTCAATTAACATTATTGTTAAGAAATATCGTTATTAGAAAACATTCTGAAATATATAGACCAGTTTTTTTTCTATACCTTTTTGTTAAGATGAGAAAAACGTCCATCATAGTCTAACTGGCAGTCATTTTTATCAGTTATATTCCTGTTGATAGAGGTGTAAGCCGATGAATCGATCGGCGGCAGTGGTAAAAAATTCTTAATTTTGTTTAAACCTTCAATGGCGTCTGATTTGAATCTATAGGTTCTTCAGTGGCGGCAGCTGTAAAATTCAACTTATTTTTTGTTCATGGCGGCGGGGCGATAAAACATTATTGTTGTTAATTTTCACGGCGGCGGCTTGCAATTTCGAAACTGGATAATGCTTTAGATGAAAAGATATACCTGTTTATTTCAATATCTGCTTATTAATAATTGCAAAAGACTAAATGAAATAACTGTATTTCGCACGTTAGTTTAGTCAAGAGATTACATCTGAGGAATATTGAGATGAGTAAACCTAGGACAGTTCCATCTCAGCTCCGATTTTGAGAACTGTCGCAACAGTGCTTTAATAGGAACTGGTCTGTTTCTACCAGTTCTTTTCATAGCTGCTATTCTACGGAGTTACCCTTAGATCTTCAAGGGCTATTCTATCCGAGCATCCTTCGATTTTGAAGGACTTTCATATGGAGGTGCCCTTAGGTCCTCACGGGCTATTCTACGAGATACCCTTAGTTGGTCGAGAGCTTTTTCTAACGACCAGTCAGAATCAAGTGAGCTGTTTCTCCGCTATTGTAAAGACAAAGCATACTGTTATTCGTGTCATAAGAAAGAAGGCCATGGATGAATCCCTGACTGACCCAAACAACAGTATGTTTTCTGCTTATAATAGAGAAAAAAAGCTTGTTAGCGCAGCCCCTTTGGGGCTGAAATGTGGAACTCACGAACTCTGAGCGTTATAAATTTAATATATATTGTCAGAGGTTTTAAAATAAGTTCTTAAAAAAATACTAAATAAATGAATAAATCAGAATTATAACAATTTTTATAGTTGATACGCGCGCTCTGAAAGTTTACTTTGTTGAAACTATTCATATTTATTACTTTTCTATCAGATTATTTGATTCATTTAACATCGTAATATTGAAAAAAATTATTTGTATTGTCATATACATCTTTAGTGCATAACTTCTATTATCTTATTGATAATATCCACACGAAGCATGTCACACGAAGCAGCAGATACAATTTTATTGTTCGTTTCATCGGTTCAACTACTATATTAGCCTGCTATGCATATTTATTTTACTGTTCAGTGAGCTACTACGCATATTATTCTTTCTCTCGACTAATTTTCATATATAGTGTTGAGGTTTAACTAAAATTAGAATTCAATTACTTCATATTTTGTAAGTGTCGTCTTATTGTTAGCCTTCTAGGTGGGAAATACTAATGCTTTACTCATTAACACCTAAAATAAAATCTTTCCCCTTTATCAAAAAGCTGTTAGTGCAATCCCTGTGGAATTAAAGCGCGAAACGCGATCTGATCACTGTCACTGACCACATAAAAAATGACCTCATTCGATCGATTTATGGAGTGATTTCTTCATCATCCTTTACAGAATCCTCTAGAGCTGCAATAACGATACAGCTCATACGTTCTTAGCAGGTCTTAGTAACATGGTGTCTAGGGTGTGGGTGTGGGGTGTGGGTGTGGGTGTGGGGTGTGGGTGTGGGTGTGGGGTGTGGGTGTGGGTGTGGATGTGGGTGCGGTTGTGAGTGTGAGATGTGGCTGTGGTTGTGGCTGTGAGTGGATGTAGATATGGATGTGGGTATGACATGTGCGTGTTGTTGTGGTGGTGGGTGTGATTATGGCTATAGTTGTGGCTGCAGGTGAGTGTGAGGGTGGACGTTGATCTGAGCATGGGATGTGGATGTGGGTATGATTGTGATTGTCTGTGGACGCAGGTGTGGGTGTAAGTCTCTGTGAGTGATGGTGTCTTTGGACTAGGTATCTTTGAGTGTCGGTTAGAGGTGTAAGCCGAAGGGTCAAACAGCGGCGGCGGTTATAATGGTCAAATTTTTTTCCATAGCGGCGGCGTCTACTAGACTTTATGTTTTTCTACACCGACGACAGTGGCTTTGAAAACCAAAACAAAAAGGCTTTGCTCCTAAGAGACGAAAAAACGACCGATTGCATGTTTATCGATGTCAACGACGGCGGCGCCTAAAATATTCTTAAAATTATCTACGATTCCGTGGTGGCGGCGGCGGCTCAGCTGTACGGCTTACACCTTTAGTGTCGGTTTGGATGTTTGTGTGTGTCGATCACGGTTAGAGGTGGTCTAATTGACATGAAACCGGAATCACTGAGAATCTTCCGGACTCAGCCATGTTTGATCCGTGTAGCGTGTGAGTCTGATATGCTTGAATAATCCAGGCTCTGGTTGCAAAGATTCTGGATCCGACGAGCTCTAGCTTTGATGTCTGTGGGTGTGTGGGTAGTAGACCGGTGCGGGAGCAACCCTTGTGGCTCTGGTCTCGGTCAAGTTTTATACTTTGGTCTTAGTGGGGAGCCCACTGGTTTTTTTCTGGGTCCGATCTTGGTTCTGATCCCGGTCACGGTCCTGGTGATATACTTTTTTTGGTCCTAGTCCTGGTCTCAGTAAGTTTAGTTGTTCTGTTGCTTGCCGAGATTTAGAGAAGCTGTTGCAGAATCTACTGCTCTTGGATCGCGAATAATTCTTGAATACTTGCATTTTTTATTTTCCTTGTCGATGATACACATGCGCGGGACAAAAATTTTCTCTTGTTCCGAGTCCGGCGCTTGTGAAAACTTTTTTTTTTTGAGTTCTGGTCTTGATCACGGTCCCAGTAAAATTTTATTTTCTGATGGGGTGTGCGTGTGGGTGTCGTCGGAAACACATTTCAGTTCTTCACATGGCATCCACACGCACACAGTTGTTTTTTTTTGAGCTAAGTACAAATCGTAAGGAACATCGACCAAAGGAGTGAAAACATGCAACTCTAGAAAAATTAGAGATGTTTTATTGTGGTGGGTTATGTTCGAGACGCTTGAATGCGTTTTTTTAGGGATCTTGTTTGAATAAGTGCCTGAATGTAGCGTATTTGACGTAGCTTGTAATAGCCTGTTTGATAAGGACATGTGGATGAATAAGGCTTACATTTCAAATCGGATAAGGTTCTTCAGATAAGCTTATAATTGTATAAATTATGAAATCATTCTATCGAGCAGTAACAAGTGAAAAGTGAAATAAGTTGAAGCTCACCGTGTTGACAGCAGATTGAAACTGATGAATAATTTTCAATAAAACTTGACGATGTTTGTCCTTTAGTGTGTGTATAGAGAAAAATGAAAATGAATCCCTTCAAAGAACGAAACACACTTCTCTGCAAGGAACGAACGGCATCAATCAGTTTGTGAAAAAGAAGTGAGCGCAAGATTTGAAACAGCAGTATGAAAGAGAAAATAAACAGTGAATGAGCGCATCGCTGATACATGCGCAGCATATTCTGTCCCACTTGACCGAAAGTGAAAGAACGCTTAATTTCATTTTAATATATTTGAGCAAACAAAGAAAGAAAAAAAACTGGCTTCGAACGTGATTGTTCGAAAAAGTATGCCTCTTCATACATTCCCCGAAATAGTAAATGAGATTGAAGAATCTGCAGAGACGACGACAACACATCAGAGTAGACCACCGATACAATTCTTTTTTCACAGTTCTCGCGTCGTTTTCTCGGTTCTCTTTGATTTTTGTGCTGTACAAAGCAAAAAAACTTGCACAGTCTCCATGGTAAGTTTTCCATCGGTGAGTATTATTTGGAAAGTGAAACATTAATAATGTACTGAGGGATAATTTCTTATGTGGAACAGGAGAACCCAGTATCAGCTATAAGGGTGTGGGTGTGGG